CGGGTGCATCATCACGCATCAGCCATGATTTAGCATTATTGAGCATTATTAAAAGGTTGCAGCTGCTGTTTTCCTAACCATTTTTTGAGTGAGAAAGCAATATTTTGTAGCAATCCTAGTGATCATCCTAATTTATGTGAAGTTATATATGTGAGTGTATGAATGTAAAGGCACTAACTGTAAGAGTGCAGGGCTCATGTTACTCTAACAACAATTGTTTTCTTTGAATGGCACTGAGTTTGAGGTTGGCGAAGACAATTTTATTCATGATACATTTTTTTGAGTGACTGAATCACCCCTAGAAGCTGTGGGGTTCTAAAGGCTTTGTTCCTGGGAAGTAGTTTTTTCTTTCTTTAAAAAATGATCGAGATGGGGCCGGCGCTGTGGTGTAGCGGGTAAAGCTGCCGCCTGCAGTGCCGGCATCCCATATGGGCGCCGGTTCAAGACCCAGCTACTACGCTTCTGCTGCAGCTCTCTGCTATGGCCTGGGGCAGCAGTAAAAGATGGCCCAAGTCCTTGGACCCCTGCACCCATATGGGAGACCCAGAAGAAGCTCCTTGCTCCTGGTTTCGGATCGGCGCAGCTCCGGCTGTTGCGGTCATCTAGGGAACGAACCAGTGCGTGGAAAACCTCTCTCTCTTTGCATCTCCTCTCTCTGTGTAAAAAATAAATTAATATTAAAAAAAAAAGAAGTGGAGCAGCTGGGACTCGAAAAAGAAAATGATTGAGATATAATTGATGTACATTGAGCTGCAGTATTTATTTTCTTTCTTTCTTTCTTTCTTTCTTTCTTTCTTTCTTTCTTTCTTTCTAAGATTTATCTATTTATTAGAGAGGCAGAGAGAGAGAGAGAGAGAGAGAGAGGTCTTCCATCCACTGGTTCATTCCCCAGATGGTTGCAATGGCCAGAGCTGCACTGTTCTGAAGCCAGGAGCCAGGAGCTTCTTCCAGGTCTCCCACGCAGGTGCAGGGGCCCAGCCATCTTCCACTGCTTTCCCAGGCCATAGAGAGCTGGATCAGAAGTGGAGCAGCCAGGACTTGAGCTGGTACCCAGATGGGATGCTGGCACTGCAGGTGGCAGCTTTACCCCCTATGCCACAGCACGAACCCCTGCAGTATTTATTTTCTTTTTTTTTAATTTTTTAAAATTTTTTTATTTTTTATTTTATTTTATTTTTTAATTTTTTTGACAGGCTGAGTGGACAGTGAGAGAGAGAGACAGAAAGGTCTTCCTTTGCCATTGGTTCACCCTCCAATGGCTGCCATATCCAGTGCGCTGCGGCCGGCGTACTGCGCTGATCTGAAGGCAAGAGCCAGGTGCTTCTCCTGGTCTCTCCCATGGGGTGCAGGGCCCAAGCACTTGGGCCGTCCTCCACTGCACTCCCGGGCCATAGCAGAGAGCTGGCCTGGAAGAGGGGCAACCGGGACAGAATCCGGTGCCCCGACCGGGGCTAGAACCCGGTGTGCCGGCGCCGCAGGCAGAGGATTAGCCTATTGAGCTGCAGCACCGGCCGGAAGTTTTCATTTTTTAAAGAGCACTGTCAAGTATTTTTGTTTTGGGTTTTTGGCTTTCTTTTTTAATGTAATATTTATAAGATTTACTTATTCATTTGAGAGGCAGAGTTACAGATAGAGAGATGGAGACAGAGGTCTTCCATCCGCTGGTTCACTCCCCAGTTGGCTGTGACGGCCGGAGCTGCGCCGATCCAAAGCCAGGAGCCAAGAGCTGGATTGAAGAGAAGCAGCTGGGACATGAGTTCGTGCCCATAATGGGATGCTGGTGCCACAGGCAGAGGCTTAGTCTGTACCACAGTGCTAGCCTTTGGTTTTTGTTTTTAAAAGATTAATTTGAAATTTAAAATTTTAAAAGATTTTAAAAGAGTAATTAATTAATTTGAAAGGCAGAGTGATGGGGGGTAGAGCAGGGGCAGGGAGAGTATTCTACAATCTGCTGGTTCACTCCCCAAACGGTTGCAAGAGCCAAGGCTGGCCAGGCTGAAGCCAGGAGCCTGGAACTCCATCTGGGTCTCCTACATGGGTGCAGGGGCCCAAACACTTGGGCCATCTTTTGCTGCTTTCCCAGGTGCATTAGTAGGGAACTGGATTGGAAGTGGAGCAGTCAGGACTCAAACTGGCCTTTCAATATGGGATGCTCGTGCTGTAAATGGTGGCTCAGCCCACTGTGCCACAAGGCCAGCCCTTTGTTCTTGCTTTTAATTGACGCATCATAATTGTACCCATGTGTGGGGTGGAGTGAGGGATTGGATCCATGCACCCAATGTGTAATGACCAAGGCAAGGCAATCCGCTGATCGGGCTTTCCGGAGCTGGTACTCTCCCCTGTATCGCACACACTCAGCACGGAAAGTGTGCTGGCCTCCTGTCAGCTCCCTGAGTCCAGTGAGAGAGACACCGGTGCTTCCGGCAGCTTCTGAGATGCCCGGATACCGGGTGCGTGTCCCCTCCTCTCCCCCCTCTCCAGGGACACTCTCAGACCGTGTGTTCCTCCAAGTTATGCTGAGCTGTGCGGGCCACAGAGAGCTGATCCCCACTCTCCGTTCCTAGTAGCACCCAGACGCCCTCACCTTGCCGGTGCTATCAGTGGTTCAAGAGCGAGGAGACGAGAGCTACCTCCCGGTCCCCCGTGCTCCGCGGCACTGTCTCATGGTGCTGAGTCGTGCCCGTCTGGGGAAGGGGTCGATGGAGACAGGTGATATTTCTCTTCTTATTTCAATGCCACTTCCCGTGGCTTTGTGCTTGCTTGGGGTCCTGCAGCTTCTCACATGGATTCTGGAATTCTCATACAGGCATTTTGGACCAAGTAACATTACATTTTGTTTCCCCGTGGGAGCAAGGACTGGGACTGCCTGCCCTGTGTCTTGTTGACATCACCCTCTATTCCCACCTTGATTGGCTCAGCATCATTTATGTCACCATTCTTTCCTAGACAGCAGCCTTTTCCTCTGGGTGTTTTTAAGATCTACTCTTGGCTTTTGGTTTCCGGCAGTTTGACATCTACTGGTTAGAGTTTGCTGAAGTTTCGGATCACTTTTGCCAGGTCCTACATCATTAACTCTTCAACATTTATTCTGCTTCATTCTGTCCTTTGGTTCTTGGGATCTAACTAAATTGATATTGAATTGTGATTTTTCACAAATCTCTGGTGTTGTGTTTATTTTTTCTTCACTCTCTCTCTCTGTGTTTCATTTGGGAAATTTCTACTTGAATGTTCAAGAGAGCTTCAAGTTAAGTTACTGTTTTCTATGTTTTCCCCAGTCTATCGTTAAACCTTTTGAACTAAGTCTTCATTTTAATACTGAGCTTTTCATTTGCATTAATTTTTCTTGGTTCATGGATTAAATTTCCTTGTCTCAACACTGCTCTTTTCCCTACTAGAATCTCTAGGGTGTTTTTTTTTTTTTTTAAATATGTATTTATTTATTTGAAAGGCAGAGTTACAGAGAGAAAGAAGGAGAAACAGAGGCAGAAATCTTCCAGCCACTGGTTCACTCTCCAAATGGCCACAATGGTCAGGGCTGGGCCAGGCCAAAGCCAGGAGCCAGGGGCTTCATCCAGGTCTCCCACGTGTGTACAGAGGTCCAAGGACTTAGGCCATCTTCCACTGCTTTTCCCAGGTGCATTAGGAGGGAGCTGAGTTGGAAGGGGAACAGGCAGGACTCAAACCAGCAGTCCTAAGGTATTTTAAATCAGAATTGTCTTATGTCTCTGGTAATAATTTCATCAGCTAAATGATCCCCACTTGTGCTTCTATTCATCACTTCCTCTCAGGAAAATGGGATTTTTTTTAAAAAAGCCTTATAATTTTACATTATGTCAAACATATAAACATTAGTGGAGTTTTCAATAAGTAACAATTATCTCCAAAAGGGACCCATCTTTTCTTCTGTCAGGTTTCCAGATCAGTGAGCCAGTCTGGTTTGTACTTGAGATGTTCCTGGACTGTGCTGCAAGGTTGGCTAACGCCACCTTTGCTCCTGCTTCAGGTATGTAAGGTGAGACTGGGGATTCTTTAGCAGAGCCTAGAACCCGAGCACCTTACCCAAGCTTTCTCTCTTGTTAGTTCTCTTGATTTTTAAATTGGCTTATGTTTTATCTTTAACTTTTAATCCATCTAGAAATAAATTTGATTAAAGATGTTGGATGCTCTTTTGGAGGGAAAATGTTCACACTGAGATTGGGCCACGCCTTCGATTTTCTGTTTCACAGGGCTGATCATACATGGGGTGAAGATGTGTCCACTTGTTGTTTTTCAGATGCCACTTTGTACACGAGGCCCCCTTGATGGACTGCGTTACAACACAAGAAGACTTGCTCAGTAAAGAAGGAAAAAGCAGATGAACAAGCTGAGGGGGTATCAGTGACTTCCTCCACCAAATGTAAAACCTGCTGATGGGCTGGGCACGTGTGTGCATGTGTGTGTGTGTGCACGTGTGTGCACGTGTGCATATGTGTGCACGTGTGTGTGCACGTGTGTGCCTGTGTGCCTTGCGCACACATGTGTGCGTGTGTGCATGCGTGTGTATGTGTGTGTGTGTGTTTGTGCGTGTGTGTGGGTGACAAAGGGCACACTCACATTTTACTCCTTCCACAGATGTGTATTGTAAACCTTCTCTCTGCCTGTTGTGATCAAGCAGCCAGAAATAGAGCAGTGAGAAAAACATAAATCCTCAGCAAACAACTCACTCAGTAACATACTGCAAATTTCCAGTGAAGGTGTCTTGTTTGTCTTCATAGCCTCTGAAATGAACTAGAGGCAAACGAGGACACGGGAGACAAAACTACACCTAACTCACCTTCTATCTACCACTCTTGATGTAGCAGTTAGGAATCCCATAGGCTGTAACATGTATGAGACATGAAAAAGTTTACAAATGCAGGTTTCATTTTTCTTGAATGAAACTTGGCATTCTATAACGGCATCACCTTCTGTTCATACACTGATTTTTTTAAAAATTAAGATTTATTTATATGAAAGAGTTACAGAGAGAGGGGGAGAGACACAGAGAGAGCTTTTCCAACTGCTGGTCCACTCTGCAAGTGGCTGTATTGGCCAGGGCCAAACCAGGCTGAAGCCAGGAGCCAGGAGCCTCATCTGGGTCTCCAACATGATGGCAGGGGGCCAAACACTCGGGCCAGCTTCTGCTTTTCCCAGACACCTTAGCAGGGAGCTGGATTGGAAGTGGAGGAGCCGGGACAGGAACCGGCACCCATAGGGGACGCTGGCATCTCAGGCCCTCAGCTCGGGCCTGGGCTCACATGCTCTTCACGCTCCTGTTGCCTGACTGCTACAGATGCAGCACTGCCTGCAGCACTATAACCACGTCCCAGGCAGAAGGAAGCAGAAAGCCAAGACAGGTGGGTGCCCACCACTTGAATCTTTGGGTCTCCTCATCTCTCCTTCTAAGGATCCCTACCAGAAGCCCCCACCCAAAACACAGCTGAAATATTCTTTTTTTGAAAGATCTATTTATTTATTTAAAAGGAAGAGTTACACACAGGCAGAAGGAGAGGGAGAGAGAGAGAGAGAGAGAGAGGAAGAGAGAGGTAGAGACACAGAGAGAGGTCTTCCATCTATCTACTGGTTCACTTCCCAAATGACCACAACGGCTGGAGCTGAGCCAATCTGAAGCCAGGAGCCAAGAGCTTCTTCCGGGTCCTCCACATGGGTGCAGGGGCCCAAGGACTTAGGCCGTCTTCTGCTGCTTTCCCAGGCCATAGCAGCTCTGGGGGCTTGAACCAGTGCCCGTATGGGATGCTGGCACAGTAGGCGGCGGCTTTACCTGCTACACCACAGCGCCAGCCCCATATCATTCTTAATATTGTGTCACGTTTCACATCCGTGTGTCTGGGAGGTTTGGAGAAGTTCATATGAGCATATTGCTGCCCTCAAACTATCATCCTGCCGGAGTGCAATGTAATAAGGACCAGAGAAACAAGGATTCCAAGAGTGCATTTATGTCTCAGGAGATCTCAGAGAGCACACGGAGTCCTCCCAGAGAGGCGGCACCTACGCAGGGCGAAGCTACCGACCCTTCGTCGTGGAACGTCCAGAGCCGACTGTGCTGGCAGCCTGCAGGTGCATGCCGAGGGCTGGCGTCACCGAGCTCCAGGAGGGGCAGTGTGCGTGGGCGCCACCGTCCAGGAAGGGAGCAGACTAAAGATGAGGAGGACACAGGAGCTTCGCTGACAGGTGGGAGAGGCCAGCACGGCTGCTTTACGTTCTGACAGTGATAGCAACCTACACTTTCTAGAACATGTGGGGACCCCCGAAAAACTGCCGTGCTCTGCATATGACCAGGACGTCCGCCAGTGCGGTGAGAAGGCATTTGGAGTTGCCGTGTTTTCACACAAGCTACCGGCTGCTTACTGTCTGGTGCATTCCTCTGGCCTCTGTTCCAACGAGGCTTCTTAAAAAGGTTGCGTTGTTTTAGCATACGATTTACACGGATGGGCTAGCTCCTTCCCGACGTTTATAATTCTTTCAGTAAGTAGGTAGTGCTTCCTATTAGTTTATGTACATGTGGAAGAATCGCATCTCTTACAGAATGAAGATCAGCACCCACTTGCTTCCCAGTTTTAACTTTTGAAAATGTAAGTACTAGAATCTTATTCACATAAGTAAGTAGGGGACAAGCTGGAGGACTGGGCACCCACGATACGGATCAACAGAAGCTGGATATAAGACAGCAATAGTTCAGTCACCCAGGTCTGGTAAGGCCTCCCGAGTTCTGTGCCCCAAATCCCACATGAGGGGGAATGAAAGTCTGTTTTCATGGATCTGTCCACCTTCAGTTTGATCCGCACTTCCATCACTGCCTTCACAAACACAAAAATTAGAGCTCTTTAATTCCTGAAGAATTTTTATGACCGTTCACTTCCTCAGCATCAGTCCCCGTATTTCAAGCGCCTACTGACTTGGCCTCTGGATACGCTCAGGACAATGAGTGTTGATCCGACAAAGGATGAGTTAGAGGCAGATGCACTTTCCAGAGTGGGAGAAGAAGAGTTCTAAAGTCGATGGTAGAAAAATATTCCAAAACCACTGGAAGAGCCTGAAGTTTCCTAATATATAAACAACAAACGTTTGAGGACACGGGAGTGCTAATCACCATGGGCTGATCATTCCACAGCGTATACATGCATCGCATTAGCATATGATATAACTATACCAAAATAATTCTTAAAAAATGTTAAGGAACACTCAGAGCGTCGTGAGAAATTTGGAAGTTGAAGGTCTGCAAGCTGATTCCTTTAAACTACCAGTGTGAGTGACTTGGGAAGTGTTTTTGTAGCCAGTAGCACATTTGCAGGCTACTGCTTTATGCTGTGTCACCTTCTCATACCTGATGGGATAACCGTGTGAAAACCTGGCTCCCGTATTTTACTGTGCACTTATCATGTGGAAGATACTGGTCTAATGGCTTGAGATGCAGCAACAAGCAAGACCGAGTCACGCTCCACACGCACAGCATAGAGGGGGTGACGGGCTATTAATATGCAATTGATTCAGAAGGAAAGGGGCCGGCGCCGTAGTACAATAGGTTAATCCTCTGCCTGCAGCACTGGCATCCCATATGGGCACTGGTTCTAGTCCTGGCTGCTCCACTTCCGAGCCAGCTCTGCTATGGCCTGGGAAAGCAGTAGAAGATGGCCTAGGTGCTTGGGCCCCTGCAACCACATGGGAGACCTGGAGGAAGCTCCTGGCTCCTGGCTTCAGATCAGTGCAGCCTCAGCTGTTGCAACCAACTGGGGAGTGAACCAGCGGATGGAAGACTTCTCTCTCTCTCTCTCTCTCTCTCTCTCTCTCTCTCTCTCTGTCTCTCAGCCTCTCCTTCTCTCTCTGTGTAACTCTGACTTTCACATAAATAAATAAATCTTTAAAATAACACAGCGTGTGGGGTATGTGAGGAGGCCGCGCTGTCTGGAGCTTGCTCTCTGTGCCTTTCTCTGCATGAGAACAGCAGGTCAGGGATTACCAGAGTCAAAATCCTTGTCTCCGTCATCACAGGCAGCTCCAAACAGTGGTCCTCAATTTCTTTTTTTGACACAGAAAAATAGACACACATATGTTCACTTGAGACCAAAGTTGGCTCTACATTTTAATCCACCAGAACAGACTCCAGGCCCAGTACAGAGTATTTACGTATCTTACGTATGTTTCTCCTTAGGTATTTCCAGAAATCTGGTTACTGCCGTGGCTCTTGTCTCGGCGGCGGCGGGACTATCCATCCCCGTGGTTATCCTGTCTCCAGTGGAGCCTTCCCCGCGGAATCGCGCTGGTAGCGTTAGCTCCCTGAAGACTACTTCCACTCCCAGCACTATTTGCCAGTACACCTGGTGTCGTGTGCTCAGTAGTAACTGTCTGAGAAGTGGGAGCCCTGGTCTCTGGAGTTCCAAAAAACGTCACCTCATCACTCAGCCTTGATACCGGCGAAGCAGAAAATTGATCCTCATCAAAAGAATCTGTGAAACCCTCTATGTTGATCACGGGCGGCGGTGGCCTTCGAGTGATGTCATATGAAAGTGTTAAGGAGATGCAGCACGACAGCTTGTTCCTGCAGAGACGTATGTACCTTTCGTCATCCAAGCATCGTCTTCGGCAATGTCCTACGTCGTTCTTCCAGCATCTTTTGATTCCCCAGCTACCTGCATGGCATAAAGAGTTGATCAGAATTTTAACTCTACCATCATTCATTCACTCCAAAATTTACAACTATTGCCATTGCTATCTAGACTCATACCTGAATGACAGGGACTACAAGCTATTGAGAGAGACAACCAAGAAAGCAAAAGTATGTATTGAAAATAGTGTCAGGGCTGGCGTTGTGGCGTAGTGAGTGAAACTGCCCCCCTGTAGTGCCGGCATCCCATATGGGCACCGGTTTGAGTCCTGGCTGCTCCACTTCCGATCCAGCTCTCTGCTACGGCCTGGGAAAACAATAGAAGAGGGTCCAAGTCCTTGGGTCCACCAGGTTAGGTCATTAACAGACGAGGCGAGCAAGAATAAGGATCAGGAAAGGCTGTCTAGGGAAGCTTAGCTCCCAAGAGAAGCCTGGCAGCATTTCTGGGCAGGTGATTATCCCGCTGAGTGGTGAGAACAAGCGAGCCTGCTCCCATCAAGCCGATTCCACAATCATTGTTCTCCTTCCAGCTGGCCGAGAAGTACCGAGGTACGTGTGTTCTAGGCAGAGGCAGCCGCGGGAGCAAGTCTGCTGGTTGAGGAAACCTGGTGTATGTGCAGAGGGGCAAGTAACCCTCAAAACGCAAAGCCTGTTTGGGCTGAGCGTGATCATCTATACAAAGCATTGCACCCGCTGTCGTGTATTCAGATCCCGCTAATTTGGTTCCTAGGAAATTTCATCCCCTGGGAAATGCTACTTCTAGTCCTTCTTCTCTGGTTACTTGTTCCTTTCTAAAAGATTTATTTACTTATTTGTAAAGCAGAGTGACACACAGAGAGGGAGACACACAGAGAGATCTTCCACCTGCTGGTTCACTCCCAAAATGGCCACAACAGCCAGTGCTGGGCCAGGATGAAGCCAGGACCAGGAACTCCGTTTGGGTCTCCCATGTGGAAGGCAGAGGACTTGAGTCGTCCTCTGCTGCCTTCCCAGGAGCACGAGCAGGGAGCTGGAGCTGGAGCTGGGGCCGGTGCCCCCATAGGTAGGGGGCCTCCCAGCAGCAGCTCACCCTGCTGCACAACTCCGGCCCCGTACTAACTCTACCTTTGCTATCTTATTGCCTCTATTTCACTTTGCATTTTGAGGAATTTTCTGCAAGTTTCAAGTCTAGACAAATGCTAACCTTTCTTCATTTCTCGCATCTACAAAGGCTGTTTCTTAGTCTTTCCTGCCAGCGACTCCACACTGAAAATCTACGTCATCTCTAGCCTTCCCTTCCCTTCTCAAGCTTCGTCAGTTCTTCTTCAAAATTGCATTGATCCCACTTTTTAAAAATTACTCCTTGCAGGCTTAAAATTTAGACTATAGTCCCATTGCATGCTTCCAATGGTGATGACACCTTTCTAGGCCCTCACGGTATGCTGGTGAACCAAACAGTCAAGAATCACACAGAGGGGCCGGTGCTGTGGCATAGTGGGTAAAGCCACCACATGCAGTACCGCATCCCATAAGGGTGCCGGTTCGAATCCTGGCTGCTCCACTTCCAATCCAGCTCTCTGTTTATGGCCTGGAAAAGCAGTGGAAGATGGCCCAAGTCCTTAGGCCCCTGCACCCACGTGGGAGACCCAGAAGGAGCTCCTGGCTCCTGGCTTTGGATAGGCACAGCTCCAGCTATTGCGGCCAATTGGGGAGTGAACCAGTGGATGGAAGACCGTGCTCTCTCTATTGCCTCTCCTCTTTCTGTGTACCTCTGACTTTCAAATAAATAAATAAATCTTTAAAAAAAAGAATCACACAGAACTTACTTTCTAACACAGGGAGCAGACAATAAAAAGTAAGTATATTGTTTTGTATTCAAGAAGGTAAGACATGGTTTGCACAACGAAGGGACAATAGATCTAAGGGTAATTGGAAGGTCATGGGGGTGGATTATGGCTTATTAAACAGGAGTTAACACAGGTCTGTGTGACAAGGTGACAAACACCTCGAAGGCAGTGAGGAATCAGCCACGGTGGTATCGGGGCAAGTACCTCCCGTGCAGAGGCGAGAGCTGTCCAGGTTAGTCTGGCCTGTTTGAGGAAGACGTGCAGGACAGTGTGACTGTAGTGGGGGAAGGAGCACCGGGACAGTCGCACATGGATGAGGTCAGGAGGCCAGGATCACGGAGGAGCAGACAGGCCGCTGCCAGTCTGCTGGCTGTTGCTGTGCGTGCTGACGGGGCCGCTACAGAGCTCTGAGCAGAGACCCCAGTGTAGGTCACCCCTCCTCCAGATCTGAAAATCCTAAAATCCTCTCTATAGCTCTGCCTTTCAAATAGATAAAATAAGCCTTTAAAGAAAGAGAAAGCTCATATTGACCATCTTTGTATGCAAAACAAAGACGTACTTAGGCAAAAACAATTCGATAAGTAATTTACACATCCATTCTATGAAATTGTATGCAATCTTTGAAAATACAATTTTTGAAAAATATTTAGCAAGTGAGAAAATGCTAATGGTGTAGTAGAAAATTTATAAACAGGCTACATATTTTTATTCAAATGATTAAAAAGGAAACTGAGAGAAAGCAACAGAAAAACATTTTTTAACTCGTTTATAAATAATCCCAAACTTTCCAATAAAACAAACTTGGCAAAATGTTAAAAAATGATTAAATATAAAGTAAATAAAATAAAAGCACATGGGGAGGGCATTAGGCGCACTGCTTAAGCACCACTGGGGACACCCACATGCCATATTGGAGTACCTGGGCTTGTGTCTCACTCTGCCTCTGATCCCAGCTCCCTGCTGATGCAGCCCCTGGGAGGCAGTGGTGATGGCTCAAGTGGCTGGGTCCCTGCCACCCCTGTGGGAGACTCAGACTGAGTTCCCAGCTCCTGGCTTTGGCCTGGACCAGCCCTGTGTTCAGAGGTATTTGAAGAATGAACCAGTAGATGAGGTCACTCTCATTCTCTCTCTCTCTCTCTCTTTCTGTCTCTCACCCCCTCTGCTTTTTAAATGAATAAAATAAAAATTTTTTAAACTTTGTGTATTTCCAACAATTAGTTCATAATCAGAAATGGATGTAGATATTAATTCTTTGATTCACTTACTGCATCAACATGTGAGTTAAGATATAAGAATATAGAAGTAATTATATCTACTTAGTGGAAGTGAAAAAATCTTTCTAAACAAAATACAGTATCTCAGAATTTATCAATTTATTTTGGTACATAAAAATCAGTAAGGAGTAGTTCAGACATCTAGTAAAATAGACATTCAAGCTCACAGTTAAAGAGCCAGGAATTCCTTCAAGCAAGAAAACAGCATTTTCCTGTCTCAGACTGCAAAGCTTGGAAGAATATAACAGGAAAAGAAGTGTGAGTGCATGAAACTGACTCTCGCACAACTGACGCTGTGAGCAGAGTTGTGTAGCCTTTTGTGCAGGCATTTTGACAATCTCTCTCTCTCTCTCTCTCTCTCTCTCTCTCTCCTCTGTGTCTGTATGTGTGTGTTAGTGTGCATTATGTCGGTCATAACTTGAAAGACACACATTCGCGGACAAAATTCCCTCACTGAACTGTTTATGATAACTAAAACCCATTTCCCAGCAGCAGTGAAACAATGAAATAAAGAGAGGAGATTGACAGCTGTCACTCAAATCCTCATATATCAATTTGAAAAGGTGAACTAGGTTTATGTGTTGATACGAAGGCTCTGAGACATATTGTTAGTGCATTACTTCATGATCTATATGGCTAATTTACAACTGAATTTTTAAAGATCTAAATTTACATGTAAAAATATGTATGTTCTCATCTGCTAGAATATGCAAGAAGTTGATGACATTGATCCTGCAGGGGAAAAGTGAGGAGGGGCCAGTGCTGTGGCGTAGCCGACATTCCATATGGGTGCTCAAGTCCTGGCTGCTCCACTTCTGATCCAGCTCTCTGCTATGGCCTGAGAAAGCAGCAGAAGATGGCCCAAGTCCTTGGGCCCCTGCTACCCACATGGGAGGCCCAGAGGAAGCTGCTGGCTCCTGGTTTCGGCCTGTCCAACACTGGCCATTGAGGCCATCTGGGGGGGTGAACCCGAGGATGGAAGCCCTCTCTGTTTCTCTCTCTCTCTCTCTCTCTCTCTCTCTCTGTCTCCCCCTCTTTCTGTGTAACTCTGACTTTCAAATGAATACATCTTTTTTTTTTTAAAGAAATATTGAAGAATTGGTATTATTGGGTATCAGAGCACGTTTCTCTTCCCTAAACCCATGCAAACCTATCAATTGCATGATACCCAAATCAGTTACAAGTTTTTTTTTTTTTTTCAATAAAAGGTGAATAGTTTCCCAAAGCGGTATAATGGAAAAGAAGGAAGAAGCTCTTCACACTGATCCAGACTCAGAAGCCCCCCACCGATCACTGGTTTCTCCCCTGTCCTCATTCCACTTCTCCCCTCCTCCACCTCAGCCTTCTGTGTTGTGCCCTCCGCTCAACATCGCCGCAGAATCTGTAGTGCCGACAGCCTTGCTCACCGTACCTAAGGACGCGAAAATGAGGCCGTTTCTAGAAAGGTACAGCCAGGACAAAGAATTCACGATGCTAGGAAGAGTTCAACCAACAGGACACAGCGATGGAATAGTGAAAACAGCAGTGAGGTGAGGCCAAGCCAGCGCTGGGCTGTGATAGAGAGAGACCGACAGGGCAGCTCGGAGCACTCCGGAAATTCTTGCCTTTTGGAGAAATGTCTCAGAGGACACCCCCCCCCCCCCCAATTTGCTAACGCCCCCTCCAGAGGGAGCTTCTTAGAGAGGAGGAGCCTGGATCTGCCCTTTTTTTTTTTTTTTTTTTGACAGGCAGAGTGGACAGTGAGAGAGAGAGACAGAGAGAAAGGTCTTCCTTTGCCGTTGGTTCACTCTCCAATGGCCGCCGCGGCCGGCGCGCTGCGGCTGGCGCACCGTGCTGATCCGGTGGCAGGAGCCAGGAGCCAGGTGCTTTTCCTGGTCTCCCGTGGGGTGCAGGGCCCAAGCACCTGGGCCATCCTCCACTGCACTCCCTGGCCACAGCAGAGAGCTGGCCTGGAAGAGGGGCAACCGGGACAGAATCCGGCGCCCCGACCGGGACTAGAACCCGGTGTGCCGGCGCCGCAAGGCGAAGGATTAGCCTAGTGAGCCGCGGCGCCGGCCCCCAGCAACGTCTTAACCATCATGCCAAACGCCCACTCCGAGAAGGTCATTCTCGATTAGGGTAAAATAGGTAGGAACCCAAGGACGTGGTTTGACTCAACTTTAAAAGCACAGTGAGCGTTTGTTGTTGTCGGGGCATCAGAGGTGAGACAGTGGTAAGGAAATTGTGCCCTGGCAGCATTTAGGAAGGAGGCGGAGTTGCTGGGCTTCCAGGTGGAGTGACGGGATCCTAGAGTGAGGGATTCACTCGTTCGTGCTCCCAAACACCGCGCTGATCCGGTGGCAGGAGCCAGGAGCCAGGTGCTTCTCCTGGTCTCCCATGGGGTGCAGGGCCCAAGCACTTGGGCCATCCTCCACTGCACTCCCTGGCCACAGCAGAGAGCTGGCCTGGAAGAGGGGCAACCGGGACAGAATCCGGCGCCCCAACCGGGACTAGAACCCGGTGTGCCGGCGCCGCAAGGTGGAAGATTAGCCTATTGAGCCTCGGCGCCGGCCTGGATCTGCCCTTAATTGGCCCCAGATGCTCTCCTTATAGACTGTCTTTTTCCCTCAGGCTATCTGTGGAGCCCAGCGACAGCAGCTCCTCCTCGTGCCGTCACCTACTTCATGGAGTTCCGTTACCTTCGGTCACCTGTGCAAGCAATGCACAGAGCACGAGAGTCAGCATTAGACGACCCATCGCTTCTGGGAGAGGACGCTCTGTGTGCTGAGAAATCCAGGCCGCTGTGCGAGGCAGGGCTCTAAGTCGTGGCCTTGACTGGCCTAGCATGGGTGGTGAACCAGAGAGGGCGAGAATGCTATGCCTCTCAGCTCTCCAGACCACTCACTGCATCACTGAGTGTGCGTAGCGCAGTAATCGCTGGTTCTGGAAATTATTCAAGGAAACTGAGACCTAGTGAGATGAGCCGGCTGTAATCCTAGAGGACCCCAGGGTCTCAGGGAAAAGATGCCCGAAAGGAAATGGTTCTTAGTAAGCCTGGGTGGAGCCCACGGCTTCTCTTCTGGCCGTGGGTGGCGCCTGGGCCACGCCCCACGGAAGCAGGATGACACGTGAAGATACCACTGTGGCAGAGCCGAAGCTTACGACATCCCCCAGAGCATCTGGGGTCATCGCGCCCACATGAAGCCCCGTGGAGAAGACAGAGTTTCATGCTGAGTTCATGTGACCCCACCGATTATGACACAGAGGATTTGGAATGCGGGAAGAAAATGGGAAAACAGATTTGACTGACGCTCTTCCTCCTCCTGTTCCACTTTCCCACCAATTCTCCCTCCCCTTTAGAGACCGAAGGAGGAAACGAACTGTGGAGTGAGGAAGTGTTTTAGTAGGGAAGGGGAGGGAGCGGAGAGAGCCGTCTAACGTGAGACCGATCTCTGCGGAACCGCCCTGCAGAGGTGAGCAGTACTTCCTCTCCCGGTGCAGTCTGCTGAGCTCCAAGACGTGTTTCACACCACTGGATACCAAAGCAAGCCAAACAGATATTTTTTAAACACAGGGTGGAATACCTTGGGAGGAGAGAGCAGGGACTTGCATCCTTGCACATTTGTGGTGCTGCTGAGTTGCTGTGTTGAAGTACAAGGACTCGCTACTGTCTCTATCTGTTGGAGATATAGTTGGTAAAGTTGGAGAAAGGGACGGGAGAAATAGAAGGCTCACTAGGCTAATCCTCCACCTTGCGGCGCCGGCACACCGGGTTCTAGTCCCAGTTGGGGCACTGGATTCTGTCCCGGTTGCCCCTCTTCCAGTCCAGCTCTCTGCTGTGGCCCGGGAAGGCAGTGGAGGATGGCCCAAGTGCTTGAGCCCCTGCACCTACGTGAGAGACCCAGAAGTTCCTGGCTCCTGGCTTCCAATCAGCTCAGTTCCAGCTGTTGCAGCCATTTGGGGAGTGAACCAGCAGATGGAAGAACTCTGTTCCTACCTCTCTGTAACTCTTTCAAATAAATAAATCTTTTAAAAAAAGACATTAATGGGCTGGCGCCGCGGCTCACTTGGCTAATCCTCTGCCTGCGGCACCAGCACCCCAGGTTCTAGTCCCGGTTGGGGTGCCAGATTCTGTCCCGGTTGCTCCTCTTCCAGGCCAGCTCTCTGCTGTGGCCAGGGAGTGCAGTGGAGGATGGCCGAAGTGCTTGGGCCCTGCACCCCATGGGAGCCCAGGAGGAAGCACCTGGTTCCTGACTTCGGATCAGTGCAGCACACTGGCCGCAACGCACCGGCCGTAGCAGCCACTTGAGGGGTGAACCAACGGCAAAAGGAAGACCTTTCTCTCTGTCTCTCTCACTATCTAACTCTGCCTGTCCAAAAAAAAAAAAAAAAAAAGGCTTATAAGGGAAAACAGGAACTTGATTATCCCCAAACTGTTGGAGGAGACGAAGCACTGATCGTCTCTGCTGGACAGTTCCACAAAGGTGCACGACAGGGACGCCGTCCGGCTTTCGGCCTCATGTTGTAGCTAGGCAGCAACTTCATCTTGGTATTTTTCAAATGGGAATTCTGGAGACACCTTGTGTTGCTGTCTTTCCTGGGTCGCACTCGAGCTTCGAGTGTGGGCTGTGGCGAGGCACGTATACTGTAGGCAGCATATATTATATAATTTAATTTTTAAAAGAGATTTATTTATTTATTTAAAAGGCAGAGCAACAGAGAAGGAAAAAGAGATTGTACATCCACTGGTTCAGTGGTTCACTTCCCCAAATGGCAGCAAAAGCCAGATCTGGGTCAGGCCAAAGCCAGGAGCCAGGAGCTCCATCCAGGTCTCCCTTATGAGGGGCAGGGGCCTGGGCACTTGGGTCATCTTCCTCTGCTTTCCCTGGCAAACTAGCAGGGGGCTGAATTGGAGGCAGAGCTGCTGGGGCCAGACCTGGCCCTCTGACACAGGGTGCTGGCATCACAAACAGCGGCCTCCCCGCTGTCCTGAAATGCAGTCCTGTTCACAGCAACTTAAAAAAATTTAAAATGTTTAGGAGTAAATTTATCCAGAGAAGTGAAAGATTTCTATGATGATACTTACAGAATGCTGATGAAAAAAATCAGAAAGGAAATGAAAAAAGGAAACATATTCCAAGTTCATGGATTGAAAAAAATCAATGTAGTTAACAATGTCCATATATATATATATATATTGACAGGCAGAGTGGACAGTGAGAGAGAGACAGAGAGAAAGGTATTCCTTTGCTGTTGGTTCACCCTCCAGTGGCTGCTGCAGCTGGCACGCTGCATTGATCCAAAGCCAGGAGCCAGGTGCTTCTCCTGGTCTCCTATGGGGTGCAGGGCCCAAGCACTTGGGCCATCCTCCACTGCACTCCCTGGCCACAGCAGAGAGCTGGACTGGAAGAGGAGCAACTGGGACAGAATCCGGTGCCCCGACCGGAACTAGAACCCAGTGTGCTGGCGCCGCTGGGCGGAGGATTAGCCTATTGAGCCACAGTGCAGGCCAGCAATGTGCATACTACCCAAAGCAATATACAGATTCATGAAGTTCCCATTAAACTACCAATGGCATTCTTTACAGAATCAGAAAAATCAATCCTCAAATTCATCAGGAACGGGCCAGCATCGCGGCTCACTAGGCTAATCCTCCACCTTGCGGCGCTGGCACATCGGGTTCTAGTCCCGGTCGGGGCGCCGGATTCTGTCCCGGTTGCCCCTCTTCCAGGCCAGCTCTCTGCTGTGGCCAGGGGGAGTACAGTGGAGGATGACCCAAGTGCTTGGGCCCTGCACCCCATGCGAGACCAGGATAAGTACCTGGCTAATGCCATCGGATCAGTGTGGTGCGCCGGCCACAGCGCACAGGCCACGGCGGCCATTGGAGGGTGAACCAACGGCAAAGGAAGACCTTTCTCTCTGTCTCTCTCTCTCTCACTGTCCACTCTGCCTGTCAACAAATAAAAAAAAAATTCATCAGGAACCACAGAAGACCAAAACAGCCAAAGTGATCCTGAGCAAAAACAAAAAAATAAGTAAAGGAGGTATCACAATACCTGACTCCAAATATGCTATAAAGTTATCATAATTAAAACAGCATGGTACCGGTATAAACGTTGACACACAGATCCATGAAACAGAATGGAGAACCCAGAAATTAATCTGTGTACAAACAGCCAACTGATTTTGATAAAGATGCCAAGAACTTACACGGGAGAAAGGATATTCTTTTCAATAAATGGTGCTGGCAAAAAGGTATAGTTATGTAGAAAAAAGAAATTGGATCGCACCATTAAAAAATCACAACGTAGATCAAAGACCTAAATCTGAAACTATGAAACTTCTAGAAGAAAACACAGGGAGGACACTTAAGAAACAGCTGTAAGCAAGAATTTTTTGGCTAACAGCACAAAAGCATGAGCAACAAATGCAGAACCAGAGAACGGGAGCAAATCAAACTCAGAAGAAACAATGAAGGTAACAAGGAGACATCGGACACAGGGAGGGGATGCTTGCAAGCTACTGCAGTCACCCTGTCTCCCGTTTTTCAAATCACATAGTAAATAATTTTTACGAAAACTATGTTTTCCCAACCAACATTATATGGTAACTTTCCCTCATCCTCAGCTGTGGAGGCAAAGAAAATTAAAAATAAGGAAGAAAACTGCATCTTTAGAACTTGAACAAGGCCACATCCCTAAATCACGTGACCACTGATACCTACTAATTAGGAGGCAAATAGTCTATGTTGAGAAGTACGAAAACCCTTGTCTTTTACAATGTTTTATTCTCTCCTACGCCATAAGCTCAAGGGAGGCTATAATAACTTCATAACAACATCAGGTACCGGGCGACTTCTTTTAACAGATGCCGAGCACGTCCTTTTGCCCAGTGGTCATCACATGGTCCCATTGCCTCCATCCTCACCCTGTTTCATGCAGAAGGAAGTGGGATGCCAAAGGATCATGGGTACACGCCTTTCGAATCTTTTCTCTCCTTTTTAAGGGTATTACCAAATGACCTCCCCTCCCTTCCATACTATACTTAAAATCTTTGACCTCAACTGCATCACATTTCACCACTGTGAGTTTTCAAGGTTTGGAGAAATTGCCCAGGTGGGAGTTGCCGCACCCAAACTACCACTGTGAGAACGGAAGGTAAGAAGATGACCAAAATGGAAATGCCAAGACCATCTTCATGCCTCAGCGGATCTCGAATAACACACCGAGTCCTCTAAGAACGGCGGCCCTCGCTGCAGGGCCAAGTTCACGGCTGCTTGCTTGGAACATCGTGATCTAATCCTGCATCTAATCAATCATCTAGCCTCAGCTTTGTGTGGTATTACACAGAGTCGAGAAAGGAACTGCGTGTTCGTGTTCGTGCCCCGTGCGTCAGAGCAGCAGGTCAGATGTGCAGCAGACAGGAGAGCCTCTGTCCACAGGTGACCCGGGCTGTTGTGGCGGGTTTCAGCCAGCTGAAGAAATTTGACAGGTGATATCAATATAGAGCCCCTGGGACAGACAGGGCTTTGTCAACAACTCTGCCATCCCAGGACACGACCCATGGCTGTTAGTGCCGCAGAGATGGCATTTGGAGTCGGATATTTTCATGCAAGATGCCTCTTGCCCCATTCATTGCCTCAGCCCGTTATTTACTTGGTTCATTTAGTTTGCTTGCCTTTGATTTAGCAAATAATTGACACAGAGTTTAACAACTGAATGTGATGTCCCTGAAGGGACATCGAGGTCGGACAGTAAGGCATTCCTCCACAGAAACAGATTGAACAATGATAAAACGCTGAACATAGCAAAGACATACAAGTCTATTTAAAAGAAGTCAATGATCCAATTAGGAATTTGCAGTGTCACTAATAGAGTGCCTAAAGTGTAATATAGCAGAGTGAAACTGACATTTTGAGATTCCATGATTGTTCACAGCCCTTGTCTTGACTGTTGAGGAAGAGTGTTTTTTTCCATCATACTGTTTGTTGAACTCCTTACTTCGTGTAGGGTTAATCTTATGAGTATAAAGTAAACTGAAAGTACATCTTTGTAAAAATGAACAGTGGGTCTAGGCGAGGGAGGAGGAGGAAGGGTGGGAGGGTGGGAAGAATCACTGTGCTCCTGAATCTGTTTATAGGAAATACATGGGCTTCATACACCTTACACACAGTCAGCAAGTGAACTTGCAGTGTCCAGATGAGCA